TTTATTTAAGAAAGGACCTGTATCGCTGGAGTTCTTCGGAAAGAATTTTTACGGGAAATTAACAAGCGAACAGAGACGTAACACGTTTTTAATTGTCATTAGGATTAAAGACGGCTGATTTAGAGCAGCAAAAATATAAGGTGAAAGGAAGTGCAGATACATAAGTATTGGTTAGACCAATCAAACTAGATTAACAGTTTCTAGCTCAAGTTTTCAAAATAATCATACGGGTGGACAGTTATTATTAATTATCTGTTGCCAACTTTTCAGCACAAATTTACTAAATTTTATGAAATTATCCTAATTAAAGAGAGTTTAGCGTCACATGATATTACTTTAAGAAATTAACATAAATAATGATGCTTGATACGCCTGTACCGATTGAGGGGGTGATGACAAGAAACTGTTAATCTAAATTCCATGACGTTACTATAAAGAAAATAATTAACACTGTTTTAGAGAGGAAAACCTACCACCAAATATTTTAAAGAATCTGGGTGGTTCTATAAAGTAAAGGTCTGTTCCGAATAATAATATGGTACCCATCCTAAAGCTAACGTTGGTTACTATCGAGTGTCATTTTCTTATTTGGTGTAGTTAGTTGGTGTGTATTGACAAAAAGTCATGATATTTAATAAAAAAACACCTTTGGTGTGACACAAGGCGGGCCAAAAAAATTCAATGTGCGACTTAGAGGAATGAAATCAAAATTGGTAGCCAAACTGGTAGCTACACTTATAGCATTGATAAGAATTTTATAGCAAATATTAATTAATTAATTACTTGATTTCATTCCTGTCAAAGTCGCATGTTCAATCCTTTTGTGGCCGCACCTTTATTTCACACCTAAGATGTTTTTGATTAGCTATACTGTAATCAAAAACTTTAGAAAACTTTTGATAATAAGACGTTATTTTTGGTAAAGCTTTGGAATTACAGCGAAAATAAAACAATGACTATCCAAAGGCTTGATTTCATTGAAATAGATAAGTGGTATTTTATTATGTAACATATTTTTCGTTATACTCAACTGAAGACTGGGAGTTCAAGAAACATTAACTCTTTATCAAGCTAGGTTGATAATATGAAATAACCACATTGATGTGAAAATTAAACCCTTGGTTTTGATAACATGTTATACTTTTACGATTGTATCATTTTCAGTAAGGAGAAAGTTTTCATTCAGTTTCAATCGTTATTTTGGTACCTGACGTCATTTCGCGAATTCTTTCATAATTATGATCACGCAGTACAGTAACGGCCATGGTAAATAAGAGTTAGTGTATCTCAAAGCCAGATACAGAAGAATGAAAATAACACAAAAAATATATTTTCTGCTTTTTTTTTCTTCTCATTTATGATATAGATCCAGTCAAGTGTAAACAGTGTAATCTATTTCAACACTGAAGGAAGTTTAATCCCTACAGAACCGTCCTGCCGATCCAGCTGTTGTGTATTTATAGCAGCTCAACTGAAACATGCGCACTGTCTAAGTTTAGAGCACACGTACACTGAATGAAGATTACCATCCAACTCACGTTCAACAGAGCAAGTTTATTGCTTTTCTTGCCATTCTCGTAGTTTCTTCTGGTCTGGTTTCTGCACAGCAGTAAACCTGTTTGACCAGACAAGTCCAGTGAAGGTCGCGAGGTTAAGAGGGTGGAACCAAGGCCGGATTAACCAAAAGACAGAGGAGGCAGTTACCTTTGAGCCCATAGTGTTTTTTTTTTTACTTCCTTTTCACTGTAGTATTTTAAAAGCA